GGTTCTCTCCGGGTTCTCCGGCTTCCTCCCACAAGCTCCAAAACATGTTGAGGTTAATTGGTGATTCTAAATTGTCCGTGGGTGTGAATGTGAGTGCGCTTGGTTTCTGTCTGTAAGTGTAGCCCTGTGACAGACTGGCGACCTGTCCAGGGTGTCCCCTGCCTTCGCCCTAAGTCAGCTGGGATAGGCTCCAGCCCCCCCGCGACCCTAATGAGGATTAAGCGGTGGATAGATAATGGATGGATGGATAGATGGTTTGACCAGAGGGCTGAACTACAAGTTTGGCATAGCCAGGCTTTGTCTGTGTAAGCCGGCTCAACAAAAACTCCAGTCAGAGTTAACAGATACCACAAAGCTGGTTATCAGCTGTTTTGTTATCTTATGCTTTCTGCTTCAAACTCTCTGTGTGTTTAACGCATTATGTGACTCTTATTCTTCAAACTGAAACGATCATGTGTATGTGTGTGTGTATGATGGTAAAAAAAAAAAAAAAAGAAGAAGAAGAGCTGCTGCTGCAAGTAGCAGAAGACAGGAATGCTGGTCGAAAATATTTTAATGTCCATCCATCCATCCATTATCTATACCCCACTTAATCCTCACTGGGGTCGCGGGGGTGCTGGAGCCTATCCCAGCCAACTCAGGGCGAAGGTAGGGGACACCGTGGACAGATTGCCAGTCTGTCACAGGGCTACACTTAGAGACAGATAATTAAGCACACTCACAGTCACACCTACGGACAATTTAGAATCATCAATTAACCTCAACATGTTTTTGGACTGTGGGAGGAAGCCGGAGAACCCACAGAGAACCCATGCTGCACGGGGAGAACATGTTAACCACTGAGCCACCTTGCAGCCCATATTTGATTGTGTGGTAATATATTTATGTTATAGATTAATGCAGCTGTTTTTTTTCTAACTGGCAGCTGCACATTAAAGTTGTTAAACTTTAAACTTCATATATTAAAACATGACATTGCATTGAGGTGCATTTAGGTCTGACACTTTCCTATAATGCAGGATATCATTTACATTTTTGGCCACATCAAACTGAAGTTAATGTTACTGATTGAATGTTCTCTGTAATAAATACCAGTAGAATAATCCATTTTCTAAACTCTGTTCTTTCAGCTGCAGCACCAGCAGTGTAAACAGACTTGACAGCAAATCAGGACAAAACATAAAAGCACATTTGTTCGATTTGTGCATCACCACCTGAATACATGTCGGGTTCCAATGGCAATGTTATGTATCCAGTTTGCGATTCTGTTACTGCGCGGCCTCATTCAATGGAACAGTAACATACAGTTCAACAGGTTCAAACAAATATAACATTCCCTCAGCTAACAATCTGTATTACTCATATAGAATCATTCGGAAACAGATGCTTCTTGCAGCCGATTTGAATCCCAAAATCTGAACTTACCCTGCTCCTGACCAGGTTAGCTCTGCAGCATAAGTTACCATGGAAATTTAGACAGGTTAAAAGAGAACCACCTTCATGATACTGAAAACTTTAAGCTCAACATACCTCTCTGACTCACTAATATTGCTTCATAGTACAAGCCTCAGAGAGAAACTATTTGCATTGTCCTGTCCTTTTACCACCATGTTTGTGTAATTCGGTTTCACAGGGTTTTGTGGTGACACAGATGTCATCTTAACTGCAGGTATAGGAGCTTTTGCTCCAAATTTCTCCAAATTACAGTAGCTAATCAGGCGTGAAGCAAAGCAGGAATATGTGCAAGTATAAGAGAAATAGCGCTACATGATGCTCATGTGTTGATGCCTTCTTTATCTGGCCTGTGTTGATGCTCTGAGTAAGTCTGTTTTCCTGCTCTCATGTTAATTGTGTGCGTTCCATCTGAAGGCCTACAGAAATGACTCCATGATGAAACACGTTGCGTTTTCTTGAGGCAGGCACGAGCTCCTAAACTCATGCAAGCCCCAGAAAGGTTAGATTAGGGCCCTGAGAGATAGCATCCCTAAACTGTAAATTCATTCACCAGCATCCGTTCATTCAGCAGCTCGAGGACTGACTTCAGCTAATTGGTTCGATTAAAGAGGGGAGGAGGAGGAAAGGAGGAGGGTTGGAGGGGGTGAGTGATGGTGGTGGTGGTGCAGAAAAATCTTATGAATGAAACCCAGTCTGGTGACGTCAATGGGGATCGCTGACGCATGAATCACGTGGGCAGGGAGGGCGGATGTATAAGAGCGCAGCAGCCGCTGTCCGTAAGCCTTAGTGCTGAAAACAGACGAACCTGAAGCGGAATCCCACAGGAGAGGAGCGCAGAAAAAGACCGCAAAAAAAAAAAAACCCACACACGACCGTTAACATTAGACAACAAATCCACACAACAACAACAAAACAACAACAAAAAGCCAGCGCGCGCATCGGGTTTGTGTGTATGACAGCAGGACTTCCAGCAGCTGAGTGTGAATGACGAGGAGGGGGGAGGAGGCTGGAATCCCCCGCTGCTCCCACTGAACTGCAAGTAAGTGACAACTTATTTTGCCATTACTTTATCTTGTGTTCTCCAGAGACACGTTTGCTTGAGCCTGGGTCATCATTAATACTCAGCAGTGATTACAAGAATGAACTCTGAAGCATCTGAAAGATTGGATGCTGTTCATCAGAAGAAGAAAAAAAAAAAAGCAAAAATGCAGCCTACAAAAGAGGGAGATGATTCCTGGTGCCTGCTGGTGTTGGACAGCTGGAGATTCCAAAAAAATAGAATTCTTTCAAATCAATAGTTAGCAGGAATTTTAAATTGTTGCTAATTGAATTGGCCTTTTTCTTCTTTTCTTTTTTTTTTTTTTGCTTTTAGTCAACCGTGCTGTCCTCCTCCTTCTCCTCCTCCCCATCCTCATTATCATCATCACAATTATCGTCATTTCCAGCCATCACCATGACTTGCTTTTCCACAAACAACTAGATTGAAGACTGCCTCAGACTATTTCCATTTGTGTTCGATTTTTGACGATGCGATGACGTTCAATTTAAAAAAAAAAAAAAAAAGGTTATAACACCACAAAGAGAGTGACAATGGCAGCCCTTTGTCGTGTCCCAAATGTCTGCATAGCACTGACGTCCGTGTTTGTTGAGGGTTATGATGTGTACATCTCAAGTGTGGGCTGTATAGAGGTTACTCATGTTAAATCTGGATGAGGCTGTATTTTTTTATTTTTTTATTTTTTTTTTAATTCTCAGAACTGTCGGTCCGCTCTGCTTGTGGTCTATAAATTATGATGAGAACTCCTCAGGCCAGAAGGCTACCTTGTGAGGAGTTAATGAGATTGATTTTCCCAAGCTGGTGTGTTTTGTTTATGTGGATCATGAGATCAGTCATTTTTATGTATCATAATCCTTCATCGTGAGTTTGGACATCACGCATCACATATCCCCTTTAATTAAACCTCCACTGCCTCCACTGCAGAGCCATCTATTTGGTTGCTGGTTCTGGAAGTATGTGTGCTTTAACTGAAAGATGAAAAAAGGGATTTTTGCTGAATATTTCACTCCATCAGAAAAGATTTCTATGTGTGTTTTATTGTATATTTGAATGAGGGGAAATAATCCCACTCAAATGGCAGATTTATTTATTTATTTATTTATTTTAATGATGCTATTGGAGGCAAAATTACTGCAGATTTCTTTAGTGTCCAAAAACTAACCACAGCAAACACTGTTGCCAAGAGCAGATTATTCTAATGTTGTCTGGAGAGATCTTTGATTTTACTGTGTGCACTTCACAGCACCCCAAGACGTCAGAATAGACAAACCTGTAGATGTCTTGAAAAGAAGGTAGAACAGGTTACGTGTTGCCCAGCTAAGCTGATGTGACGTTCAAAACCAGCCATTTAAGGTCACTTTTCTTGTTGTGCTCAGCGTATAGAAAATGTCAGCACCAAGCACAGGGGTGGGTCTCTCAATCACCAGATCACATCATGAAATGAAATGAGCTTTGAAATTTAAACTTGGATCATGAATCAGATATGATTGTGGAAAACCAAATGGTATGCCAGAGGTGGTCCTTAGGTGTATCAAATTTTCTATTAATTATCAATATATAGTTTAGCGCAGATAATTAAAATGACAACATATCATTCTGAACCTCTTAAAAAATGTCTGAAACCTTTATAGTAATGTTGTTGTTTGTTTACTAATACAAAACCTATGAAACCAGACTGGTGGAGTTTGGGTACTGCTACCCATGTGATACTATTTTGATCAGGCTTTTCAAAGAATAAGCCTATGCTTTTCAATAAAACCTGTTTTTCTGTCAAATAAAAAGTCAAGTTGTTGAATGTTAAATGTCATCTAAACAGTACAATGTGTAAAATGTAGTCCAAAACTGGAACTATACAAAATTTTGAATCTGATCATAAATCTGGATCTGACCATATGCCTACATTCTCCAATAAACATCACAGAATTAAAGCAATTTATTAAAGACTATAACTGTTTAAAAGATTTTTATGTCTGGATTCAGTTTATTTATTGATTTATTTCAAATTTGCTATTTCATAAGGAAGTTACTTATTTATCATTCTGGCAAACTGAACTTCAGAATGTTTAGAATATCAGGACAATTTTATAATTCGATCTTTCTATAATATCTGTGAATGGCAGCTACGACATGGAAAAGGAAAACAAAAATAGGAAAATATGTAGTTAAGTGCCTAAAACACATTGTTAAGGGTTAGGAAAACACAACAGGAAGTGAGCTCTGACCTCCTGCACCTGTGTCTGATCTGCAACTCGGCTATTCACCGTCCTTATTTAACATCCGAGATACGCCCTTTTCACCATTGAGAATAAGCAGTAGCAACTTGAGGTACAAAATCATCCAACAGCAATGGAATTCCTATAACATTATAACTCGATTTTGTGCTTTAAGACAAGAGTTACTGAAACTGAAGATTTGGTTTTGTTTTTCTCTCTTCTCCAGGTTTTTCTGATCTCACTTGCTGCTCACAGCAGCCGTGTCCTAAGTGGCCATGACTGGATACCATGACACCTCAAGTGCCCTTACACTCTTGGTTCTCCTGACAGCAGCGTCCTTTCTCCATCTGTCCACCCCCAGCCCTCTCAGCACCATCGGAGATGCTGATAACCCACACAGAGATACTCTTCCTGGGTGGATAGTGTCTGGAAACAGAGAAAGAAGGGATGAGGAGAGACAAATAGTACAGAAAGAACAAGCTGAGGAAGAAGAAGAGCTTTTTAAGGATGTTGATCCCAAATTACTAGCGGCAATTTTACTGGAGGCATTGAATCGCTCACATGTAGAAAGAAGCAGGGAGGGAGAGGAGCATGATGGAATGAAAGACGAGATAAAGGCTGAGAGAGGGGAGGTTAAAAAAGAAGAGGCATACAGGGAAGTGAGAACAATGGAGGAAGTGGACCGAGACAGAGGTGGACGACAGGACTTCGAGCTGCTGATGGCCGCACAGGGAAAAGAGCAGGAGAGAAAGGAGGAGGATGAGAGGAAAAAAGCTCAGGAAGAGGAGGAGAAGATGACTGAGAAGGTGATCAGTCGTACCACAAGCCAGACAGTTCAGATGCAAATGGAGCAGCAGCCCACTGGTTCCGACGGACGAGGAGAGAACGACCAGGGTGCCGCTCCTCAACAAGGATCGACCAGCCCTGATCAAGGCAGCCATGAGGAGGAGGAGCAGCTCAGCCCCGAGGAGCTGAAGAGTCTGGAGACTATGATGAAAGAGTTTCCTCGCTTGAATACAGCCACTAAGAGGGAAGGGCTTTCAGAGAAAAATCAGAGAGAGAGCAGAGGTTACAGCAGTCACAATGACATTATACTAGCAAATAAAGGCAGTGACCTTGCCATGTCTAAGAAAAAACTGAAATGGCAAGAGGAGACGCAGAAAGCCCTGAACTTCCCAACTTTTAGGGGAGGCAATTTTATGGATGAATTTGAGGGCAGTATTTATGGCAACAATGCAGCGCAGCCACAGCCTCCAGCAGAGCAGGAGGTGATGAAAGATGATGAAACAGAGGAGGAGCAAGATGAGGAGGTGTTAAGTCCTGAGGAGGAGGAGGCTCAGGCCAAAGCGGAGCAAGAGGAGATGAGGAGGCAGGCAGCTGAGGCACAACGAGCCAAGTTGGAGGAGGAGAAGTTGGCTGACATCGCCTCAGACATGCTGCTGCACTACATGGTCAAACAGAATAACGGCAACAAGAAGTATACCTCATCCCTGTCGAACGCTGCAGAAGACAAGAGGTCTGATGAGGAACAAGAAGTGACGGAGGAGGATGATATCGATCCTCAAACCATCGACAAGCTGATTGAGATCTCCAGCAAGCTCCACCTCCCTGCTGATGATGTGGTAGATATCATCAGCGACGTGGAGAAGAAGAAGAAGAAAGATTTGCCACCTGAAACAACGTCACGCTGGCAACGACCTCTATCGCCCCTGTCTTCTTCACTCTCTTCTGCAGTGCAGACTCCAACTGTTCAAAATACAATACCTGTCTCTAAGCAGCCACCTCCAGCTGTTAACTTACTTAAAACTTGGTTCCAGGAGAAAACGCCAAAACCTCTTTTAGCCAATAAAAATCTTTGGCCAAAACCTCAGAAGCCTCTGCCAATCAAACAGGACCTCTGGCTCAAACCACCCAAGTCTGTCTGGTCTGGCTATCCTTTATACCCCTACACTTACGCTCCCTACTACCAGAGGAATCCCTATCCAGACTATTACCCCATCTATTTTCCTCCTCCCCCCAGGCCTAAACCCAATTACTACATCCCTAAATCTGCTGTCCCCCTCAGCAGCTTCCTGGGGAATTCCATGGATAACACGTACGCTTTCCCTCCCAATAGGCGATACCGCAGCTGGGTCCAACCCCGGCTAAGACAACCCCCCCCAGGCCTCCAGCAGAAGTCCTACTACACCAGCTACCCAGTCTCACTTTACCCCCGGATATTTCAGCCAGTACCCATCCCCAAACCTCGTTCCCCTCTCCAAATGTCTGTAATTCCTCCTCAGCAAAATCCATTTTATTATTCTGCCCCAGCATCCGCAGTGACAAGAAACAAAGATTATTATATGGCTGAAAAGCAGCCAACAAACAACAACCGTGATGATTTGGAGAAATACATACAGCAGATACTCATGAAGAGACAAAAGATGATAGACTGAAGGAAAGATGAGAAGAAAGAGAAAGAACAGGAAAAATGGAAAAAGGAGCCATGAGCAGTAAAGAGTGTATTTCTTTATGATTTTGTTCTGTTCAAATTGAGGTATTGTTTTACATAACAAGTTTCTTTCCCTTCTCTGATTGGTTGAGATACGGAAAAGTCGCAGAGGACGTTTTTCCAGCGGTAGTCTGGCTAAAATCGAACTTTGAAATGAAAATGCAAGGAAAGGCGCACATCTTCACTACTCTCCTCCTAAGCAGAGGAACCAGAATGAATGTGATCCGTTGGAAAGTGTGACCTCACAAAGATTTGTATCATATGCTAGAACTTTTCGTCAAAACGCCCAGCATGACAACATTCTCCATTTGGACATTTTACAATGCCAACAACAGGAGGACGCCTAACTATGTTGTTACCTGTATCTTTTTCATAGTCAGACTGAGAGACGGATGAGTCGAAGGCTGTGGTGGATTCTGAGAAATGCTTGATTCCTGATTTTACAGTCTGAATTTTATCGTCTGTTGACAAAGAAAGGACAATTGTGGGACTACGTCGGGCTGGCAAATTTGAAACATATTTCATAAACCAATTTCTTAGAAATAACGTGTTTTACACTGCTCAAAGTACGCAGACACCAAACATTCCAGCCATATGTGATAGCAGACAATGTGTTTCTGATACTATGGTTATCAATGTGCTTCTCAAACATCCTGGTGTCAGTCTTTCCTGCTCAGGGGTTGAAGGGTTGACGTCAGATAGGCCAGTCAGGCTCTTCCACACCAAACTGGGGGAACCTTTTCTTACAAAACTGGCTTTGTGCATCATCATGTTGAAACAGAAAAATGCCAAACCAACTGTTCATACAGAAGTGGTAGAACACTGTTGATACTGTATTAAGATTCCTGTAAATAAATCTAAGGAGTTAGTCCCGAACCAAGTGGAAATCTCTAGGGCTGAAAAATGAAGCTGTAGCAGAAGTACTAAAAATGGCAGTTCCTTGAATGGCCACCTAAGGCTGGCTCCAAAAGCAAGTCAATCCCCATTTAACCCTATGTTAAAATGATGTTTACAAAACCCTTTTGCTCTCTATAGCAAATTTCTCCATTCATGACCACTGTATGGGGGGTGGATTTTTGTACAACTTACCCATATGCATTGTATTAAGGCTAAAATGTATGCATAGTTAACAGTGTAACTGCTTTGCATGACAGGTGGGTATCATCATAAGACAATCCATGGCCCAAGAAAAACTTGCATGGCTCACCTTAGCTCCAGTCACGCTCTACCTCTTTGTTCATTTTTGGAATAGCCAGGAAATAAGCAGCATAACCAACATGGTGATGGCCAGAGCCACTACACTGAGCTTCAAAACAACTGTCCAGAGAACATTTAGGTGATGACATGAAGGAATTGTCCGTCTTTATATACAGTCAATGGCCTGAGGCAGGAAAAACAACCCCTGGTCATGGAGTGTCCACATACTTCAGGCCACATACAGTATGAAATGACACTCTTTTACCTCTTAGAGATGAAATAAGTTTCATAAATAATCTGGGAAGGGCCTCATTTTAGAGTCATTCCTTATACTTATCTTTTAAAATTAATACACTTTTTATATAACTGTTTCATTTCACTATGTTTTTTTATCAAAATGCAACATTTTTTTCTTTTTCTTTCTTTTTTTTCTTTTTTGCAGGCAAGCACCTTTTTCGTGATGTACACTCGCACATATCCACCAAAGTTCTTCATAATGAAACATAATGCACCAAAAAGCACATTTCATACAAAAGGCTTTGGAAGCCACACTAACACCACTATAATGGCTTGGATGACTCATCCTTTTGCATAACTTCTATTACCTTGTTGCTATGGTGCCAAACCCTGGCCAAACTCTATATGGCATTCTTTTACAGTTGATGCCTTCAGAGGAAGATGCAGTAGCGGATACTGTTTCTTTGCTAAAATAATATTATAAGGCTGATTTGAGTCTACATTTTATTTATCGTCAACGAATACACACTGATAAATATATATTTGCATTAAAAACGCTAAATCATTTTCTGAAGGAGCTGGCCACTGCAGTTTTTAGTAAAAGTTACATAAAAAGAAGGACTGTCCAAAGTTTGCATCAGACTATTTGATTTATGTGATGTGATGACCAACCACGTCTAAGAAAAGTAAGATTTATCAGACACTGGAATTACATATAGGTGATATAGAATGACGCTTTCCTTGTCTACTAAAAATAAGCTGTTATAGCACCCCAAAGTGGAACAAAATTATTAAGTTTCTTTCCATTGTATTTTTCATTTGTTTTTAATTTATCATCATCAGCGCAGTGTCTACTTTGGTTCCTTTTTCAAAACAATCATAATTTTAATCATGAATTGGTTCCAAATGCTGAGCAGAAATCTGCCAATAACATGTCACTGTTACGTTCCTCTTTTTATCATTTTTTTATTATTTTTTTTCTGGTACTCTTTGATATTATGAAATTTAAGCTGTAATCTCTTCTGTAATGGGAGCAAATAAGATAATTAAAATGGTTCTTGAGAACTTGTTCACCACAGTTGGAAACATTTTGTCCACATTCATAACATGAATTCAAACAGGAAATGATTTTCACTGCATGGATTTGACGACAAAAGCTAAAGTGCAAAACAAGGCCTGTATTATGCTGAGAATTTCTTTCTCTGCTTAAATGGTTAATCATAATAAAAAACAATTTTCTTCCATTTTCCTATTTTTCGAATAGAACAAGAGCAGGTGTTGTTTTTTTTGTTGTTGTTGTTTGTGTTGTTGTTGGCCTTTGTGGCCGTCACAAACATCACTCCACAGCCAAAACAGAAGAATGACATTCTCATAAAATTTAAAAGAATGTTAACATAGTCAAGAAAAATGTGGACTGAACAAAAGAAATGCGGGTTTAAAAAAAGTTTACTTTTTAATTATTATTGTTTTATTTGGTTTTGTTTTGTGACTGAGAATGAAGTTACAGATTAAGACAGGAAGGGAGAATTTTTTTAAATAAAGAGGGCTGAGATGTAAAGACCAGAGATGAGGGTACAGTGTCTGCACGTTTATGTATACTTGCATCTAAAAGTTGCTTCTTTAATGACATACAAGCATCAGTTAAAAAAAGAAAAAAAAAATCTTAAAGATGAAAGAAACAGTGATGTTAGTGTACCCAAAAAAAAAACAACTGTTTGAGTCATGTATTCGGTGAGTATTGTCCATGGTCTTTCTAGATGTACCTTGTTGTAACCGTTGTAATAAACATGCATTTGCTGGATGTAAATATGCAAATGTCAATGACTACTTTTGCTACACATAAAGAAACAAATAAAGTAAACTAATTTTTTATTACAAAATGCTGTATTGTGGACACAAAATAAATTTGTGTGAGTGTGAGAGGAGACAGCCATTTCATAGAACCCCAACACATGTATATATGAATGTCCCTACATGGATCAATAACTGCCTCAATGATAGTCTGGTACAATGATAGAGGGTATGTTTTTAGAACTACATTTCCCTTCTTATTAAAAATGTGATGAATCTAATTCAAATTTAGGGTTAAAAATGATAATCTCATCTAATCCATGTGCAGGCCTTCAGGCTGATTACAGAACTAAAATGTGGCAGGAAACAGGAGACTAAGCTTGGCTCGATATAATTTGCTTTGATATGACATGCTGCTCAGAGGCAGGGGTGTTCAGCAGGGTGATTAGAGGCCACAGCAGTCATCAGAGATGGTGATTGTGGGTTGCTGGGATGTGCTAACTCCCACACATGCCAGTTGCGACAAACCCATGTCAAGGTTTGAGGAACACTGAAACTTATGTAGGTGTGTCAGAGTGAGCTTTCTGATGTCTGCTGACTGGGAACTTCCACAGACTATCAAATGATGGTCAATAATTCAATCCTGTGAACAGAAAACATGAAAGGTAAGCTGAATAGTGTGCGTGTGTGTGACATGAAATGTACAGAGATAAAAGCCAAGATCAGGATGAGATGGGATATGCATAATAAATAAGATAGTTAAAGCAGATAAGACTGACCAGAAATATAATCATATTAAATTTAGCCCGTAAAATTAAAAAGAAAAAGAAATGACAGAAAAGGCAAGGAGAATACACTTGATGACCGGGTGAGGGAAAAGTAACACGGCTCTGGGCAGAGGCAGGGAGGAGGTGGAGAGAAAAGAGTGAGGGATGAGATAAGAGAGGAGTGGAGTGGTTGATGGTTGCAGCTCTGCCCACGGAGAGGTGCAGTGATTCATGATGTCACGTGATGAAGACTGGGTGACTCATCCACCAACATCATCATGCAGCCACTGCAGAGCACCAAAACACACACACACACACACACACAAAAGTGCACGCATTAGAGATGCGTATGTATGCATGCACACTCAGACACATGAAAACCACGAGAAAGCAGCCTGCTCAATAAAACACTTAAACCCTGACATTTATATGTTTCTATACAAATAAAAACTCAGATATGTAGGACACTCCTTCCTCCCTTTTACACACACACGCGCAAACCCACACACACACACTGTTGTATTTCCATTACTTCTGAGGGCATTACATTGACTTACTGTGCATTCCATTTTCTAGGGACGTAGGAGACCCAAACTATAAAATCTACCCTGAACAAAAATATAAACATGACATTTTTGTTTTTGCTCCCATTTTTCCATGAGCTGAACTCAAAGATCCAAGAGTTTTCTATGTACTCAAAAGGTCTGTTTCTCTCAAATATTGTTTTATTGTTGTCGAAATCTGTGTTAGTGAGCACTGACATAATCCATCCACCCTACAGGCGTGGCAAATCTAGATACTGATTAGACAACACGATTATTGTGGGTGTGCCTTAGGCTGGGCACAATTAAAGACCAATCTAAAATGTGCAGCTTCATCACACGGTATGCAAATGACGCAAGTTTTGAAGGAACGTGCCGTTGGCATGCTGACTGCAGGAATGTCTGAATTGCAGTCTAAGGAGCAGTTCAGGTTTACAGTTCCAGGAAGTAAGTGGAGGAGCAGTGAGACTGTTAACCTCTCAGAGTAAAAGTTTAATAAGTAAATTCATCTGTGGAGTACCTTATGGTGCTCCAACAGCCACTAGTCATATTCAAGTAGTTGCAGAGCATGAGGGGTTGCTGTATTTGACTCCGCTGGACCAAGGTTCAACATTTGGGGTTAGTCCTCTCCCCATTCACCTGCTCCAGAGGTGCAGTTATGCAAAAGGTTTAGATCAATCTAACAGCGCCATCTTATCACCTCGTGAGCCCTGCAACCTTATGCCAGGGATGTTGCGGCACAGATTCGGGAGGCTTGCAGTGCTCATTGTTTTAAAAACTACACCAACATTCCTGTTACAACGCAGCATTAACCAAGCATAAATTAGCGAGAGGCCTTGCAACTTGCTGCCAGTATTCTGGTGCCGGCATTCATACACTACTACCAAAATAAAATTCACCATTTTCTAATGTTATTTTTCATTTTATTTATGTAGGGCTGCAAGGGTGGCGCAGTTGGTAGCACTGTTGCCTCGCAGCAAGAAGGTTGCCGGTTTGCGTTCTGGTGAGGACACCTGGGATCTTTCTGGGTGGAGTTTGCATGTTCTCCCCGTGCAACGTTGGTTCTCTCCAGGTTCTCCAGCTTCCTCCCACAAGGTCCAAAAACATGTTGAGGTTAATTGATGATTCTAAGAAGACCACTGCTGAGGACATTCTATGAGACTGTGGTGGCATCAGTGGTCTCTTATGCAGTAGTGTGCTGGGGAGGGGGGTGCTCTGAGCGTGATAAGAGCAGACTCAACAGACTGATAAAAAAGAGCCAGCTCAGTCTGTGGCTGCCCCCTGGACTCCACTGAGGTGGTGGGAGAGACGAGGGCACTGACCAAACTGTCTGCCATCTTAGGAAACACCTCCCACCCTCTGCATCAGACTATGAACTCCTTACGCAGTGCATTCAGCGACAGACTGTTACACCCAAAGTGTAAGAAGGAACGTTTCCGCAGGTCCTTCATCCCAACAACAGTCAGACTTTACAACGCTGCACTATAGACTCCTCTGGTACCTCTGTTACTGCTGCACTTTTTCTTTTCTTTTTTCCACCAACAAACACATTCCACTATGTGCAATAACCATTACTACCTCATCCTTGTGTATATAGTCTTCTTTAAAAAAACAAACAAAAAAAAAACACATCTTCTGTATATCATGTTTTTTTCTCTTGCAATTTTTGCACTGTGTGTTTTCTGTTTTCTGTTTTTCTGTTCTCTGCTTCTGTTTGTTTCCTAAAACTTGCACTGGGTGTTCCCAATTATTCTTGCACTGACTGTACACTTTTTTTGGAGCTGTTGTAACAGTGAACTTTCCCCACTGTGGGATCAATAAAGTTATCTTCATCTTTATCTGTAGGTGTGAATGTGAGTGTGCTTGGTTGTCTGTCTCTAAGTGTAGCCCTGCCTCTGACCTGAATCATCTGGGATAGGCTCCAGCGACCCTAGTGAGGATTAGGCAGTGTATAGATGATGGAATGTATTTATTTATTTATTTATTTATTTACATGTAACAGACCAGACATGTTGATAGAGCACAGTTCAAATGATGGGACTTCCAGCGACATCTTCATGGATACTGGCACACACTGATATTAAAGTAAGCGAACTGGTGGACAAGACACAAAGGAAGTCCCAAAAAGAATTCACAAGTAGCAATTGGAGGAAAACAGTAAGGGTTCAAATTAATGTTTTCTTCCACTTTCCTTTGAGGGAATTAGGTGTGCAAGAAGGAGCAGCAGATAACAACATCAAGATTGAGATTTGGACACACGGAATTAAACAACACACTATTCAGAATACTAAAAAAAACGTAACAAAAAAAAATTTAACACTGGCAGAAGTGACTACTGTGGAAGGAAGTGACAGCAGAGTATGAAAAACTAGGAGAACTAAGAGGTCAAAACAAGGCAGCTGATCCAAAACCTCGTAAAAATACAGTTAAATTTCAGTTTCTGTATCGTAGACAAACACATTAGATCCAGAGGACATGAGTTGCTGTTTATTATTTTTATTTCTTTTTTCTATTTTCTGTTAAACGAAAGTTGGAAATATGTGACATTCTGATTCACACTTCATACCAGTTGGTGGCGGTAATGCACCAATTCGCTGTTTTCCAACCGCAGAAGAAGAAGAGGCGACGACGACGACGACGACGTCGACGACGAAGAAGAAGAAGAACGAAGTGAAGGAAAAAGCTGTATATGACGGTTGTGTTATTTCGAGTACTGCATATTGTTACTTCAGTTTAATTGTAGAGTTCTGTTTCGCCTTTTTAGCCAGTTACAGACTTTAGCGCCGCTTTGTAACACCCCAGGATTCGCCACTTTATTTTTTTCAGTTCTGTCCGGCTCTTGCTAGCTTAGCCACTTTGTGTCAACAGCCTGAGTCAAAATGAAGCCGCCTCCTCGTACTCGAGCTAAACCACGTCCCAGGACTGAATTAGGACCGCAGCGTCCAGGTAAACGGACCTCTAAGTGGCTGCGAGCGGAACAGAAGAAACTCCTAAATGGTCTGCAAAGACTCAAGACTAAAGGAGCAGGAAGAGACATAGACTGCGCTTACCTGAGAAGATTTGTGACTACTCGGTCCATTTCAGAGGTAGCCTTTCATTCTAGTCTGCTCTAAATGTGGTGAAATGACAGATGTAGACAGTGTAATTCTCACTAGTCGAAACTTTTCATTTAAATAAGATGTGGGGAACTCATAAAAGGTAGCAATTAGAGATCGATCGATATGGGGTTTTCTGAGCCTTTACAGATTATTGTTAATCAAGAAAGACCAATAACCAATGTTCAGAACAGATAAACATTAAATGCAATGTTTTTAACAGCATACCATAGCAGGGAACCTGTCCTTCATAACTACACTTCTTCATTAGCAAGGGTGACTACAACTCAATATGTAGAATAGAAAAAGGGGTGATTAAATTAGGACTGCACTGTTTATGTGGGGTCCACTGACATTGATTTTAGTTTGTCTCCTACAGTAACAACTGCTTCTCTGTTTTCATAATATTTCACTATTCTGTCAGTGTCATTGTCCAGTAGGGCTCGTGTATTTATGCATATTCGGATAGACGGGGAGGAAGTGGGCGGGACGCACAGGCAGTACTTTGCTGCTAATGCCAGTTTACTATCGCGTTCACAGTTCTGTTTCCACCATCGTGTGTGTGTGTGTGTGTGTGTGTGTGTGTGTGGTGGGGGGGGTGTATGGCGGGTGTCTCAAAACTGCTATCTGGACACCACCACAATGACAGAATATTCCAATATTCGGGTCCAGCCCTTCTGTGTCGGTTGATGCATTGCATTTGCCCTCGTCCTAAGTCGCCATGCTTCTCGATTCATGTGCATGAGACCGGATAGAAACAACGGCACTGCGCGTGCGCGTTTCACTCGGAAGTTTATGGCGATATTTCAGTTTCTTATTATCCCCTAACATTACACCGGCATTACCGTGCACGGTATGATACGGCCCAGTTCAACCACAGAGTGACTACAGATAGAGAGAGATGAAGACCTGAAGTAGCACATTTAGTTGAGCAATAATCCGGCAATAAAAATGTGATACAGATAATGAGCAAAATGCCAAATATTTGACACTCCAGTTATCAGTCTATCCCTAATACCAATGATAATGTTATCTAATGATATTAATATTAACTCCAATCACAGATATCTTTATTGTGGCACGTTATCTTTTTTTGATATTGCAACTAATATATTACCAGTTGAACTTTAATCTTAATTGTATGAAGACAGAATTCTGACCACAATTAAAATATCTGAAATGTAAATTACTGATAGCCCAAATTCCTTTAGCGTTATCTTCACAGCATTTCTCAATATCATATAAAGGTATTTATGGAAACTGGAAACATAAATAAGGTTTAATTGACTTGCCCTAATGCCCGTAAAATTCATTTTCACTGTTAGGAATTACGATATCATTCGTCCAAATGATAATTTAAGATATCTGCAATGGCATCCTAACTAAAATTGTCATTTAATTTATCCACTAGTATAT